GCCCACCCCTCCCCCCACCGGCGGGCCCCCCCACCCAGCCTCTCTCCTCCTGGTCTGTGTTGGGATTAAGGGCAACAGTCTGTCAAGGTGCTGCCAGCTTACCCCACCTCCCAGCCTCTGGCCAATCAGACTTCACGTGACAATCTCAGAGGCAGGACAACCAGCAGCTAATCACTGAGCCAGCTTCTGCGCTGGCCAATCCCCAGAAGCCCCACCCAGTGACCTTGCTCCGTCAATCAGGTGTCCGGCCAGGGTGAAGCAGACTCTACCTACCCACCCCCCATCCTCCCAACCTCTACCCTGAGCTCAGGAAAGGGGCCTCACCTCTCTGGGTTCCATCCTGGCAGACCCAGGCCCAGAAAATACTCTCCGCAACACCGCCCCAGACCATCTTTCCCCTAGGAATGGCTGGCCTTCTGGGCTCTTGTCCTGGGGCTCCGGGCCCCCTGGAGGGCTTCGGCCAGACACCCGGATGGCCAGAGACCTGAGAAGGGAGGAAGGGGATGGGAATGAGAGTCAGAAGGTGATTCGGTTCAACAGCTTAGAGTGCCACACGGATGCTGGCCCTGTGCCAGGACTTACCCCTGGCCCTGGCAGCTGTTGTCCCCTCTGCCTGGAATGCCCTTCCCCCTCCTTTGCCTGGTAAGGGCCCTCACCCTGCAGAGCTCAGGTCGGGAGCAGCCCCCCTCCCAGAGTCCGGGGCACCCACGAGGTGGAGCTGCTGCGCGGGAGGCCATGCACCTTGCCAGGGTTTCCACGTCCCGTTTCCTCCATGCAGAGAACGCCTTCGGAGCCAGAACCCCACGTGCCCCGCTGTGTTCCCAGCACCACCTGGCACACGGCTGGTGGCTAATCAATGCGAGTAACACTCCCAGGCCAGGGAGGCAGGTTGCCATGAACTCATGACCCAAATCAGGAGAGCCACCGCCAGCCGGCGAGGAAACACTGAGGGGAAGGAGCCCCGAAGCTACACCCTGAAAAAGAGAGGGGCTTCCGTGACAGATGGAGAGGAGGCACTCCGGGCTAAGGGAATGGCGCGAGCAAAGGTGTGGAGGACAGAATGCAGCATGTGCCGAGGACGTCATCGCGACGACAGCAGGGACAGCAGCAGCGAGCACCTCCAGGTGCTGCCATGCACAGACCCTGTGCTCAGCACCTCGCCCTAACTGCTAACTCAGCATCCTGGGACACGCCCCCAGGAAGGGCAAGCTGCAGCCAGGCTGTGGAGGGAGTCTGGCCTTCCTCCCGGGACACTGGGAGCCGCTGGCCATTAAGACAAAGTCACCAAGATCTCAGCCTGTCCCTGGTGGTTGAGAACTGGTGAGGCTAGTGGCCATGTTCAGCGACTGTGCCCTGCTGAAGAGGCAGCCCAGACAGCCCTTGCCCCTCACCTCCACCATCTGAGAGCAGCCACACTGCCCCCTGCTGCCAGCCTGGGGTAGGAGAGGCTGCAAGGACCCTAACCCATTCAGCACCCACTGGGAGCAGGAAGCTGCCTCCAGGGAACCTGCCTCAGCTTCCATCCCTTCAGCCAGCACTGGGGGCCAGGCCAGAGGTATCCATCAGTCTCACCCTGTCCCGGTTGCATTGAGGCAGCCTGGAAAGGCCTAGAGCTGGTCTGGGTCCCAACCCAGGGTACACTGTGCCTTAGACCCAGGAAAACGAGTTGCTGCTTGAGTGTCAGTCACCGCAGCCTCAAAAGGAGACAGTGACCCCTTTCCCACTGGGGCTGTGAGGGTCAGAGAAACAAGAGGACGCAGGAAGACGTGGGAGCCAGAGGCCTCCAGGGGACTTGAGCTGTAGGCCTTTCCTTTAGTAAGCCGTGACATGCACTGGGTCCTGCCCAGCCCTGTTTTAACACAACGGGATAGAAAATACAAGCCAGGGGACCAGCAGATGGAGTAATGGTTATGTCACTGGATTCCCACATAGTCAACCATGGTTCCAGTCCCAGACCCGGCAGCTTAAAACTCAAGCTGGGCACGTGTGCATCTGTGCTCCAAATCCTGAGAGGAGAATGGAGGAGGGACTGTGGTGTGGCCATCCTCCCGGGGATGATTTCTTGCTCTCTGTCTGTCTCTCTCTCTCTCTCTCTCTCTCCGGTGAGTGCATGTACCCTATAACAAAAATCTCCCTTAAAAAAAAAAAAAAAAGAGGAGGGACCAGCAGTTAGTGTAATGGCTATGTCACTTGATTCCCCTGTTATCGACTGCAGTTCGAGTCCCAGACCCAGTGGTTTAAACTCACTGTGAGACTGGGCACATTGTGCATGCATGCCCAAGATCCCAAGAGGAGAATGGAGGAGAAGGGATTGTGGCTTTCTGTCTCTCTGTCTCTCTCTGTCTTCCTGGCAAGCACATATGCCCAATAGCAAAAACCTCTGCAAAAACCCCTCCAAAAAAAAAAAAAAAAAAAAAAACGAAAAAAGAGGGACCAGCAGACGGCGAAATGGTTGTTTCTGGGCTCTCACATAGACAGCTGTAATTGAGTCCCAAAGTCAGCGGCTTAAAACACACTGGGCACATGTGTGTGCGTGCCCAAAATCCTAGTAGGAGAATGGAGAAGGGATTGTGGTATGTCCAGCCCCCCTGGGGGGTGATTTCTCCCTTTCTGTTTCTCTGTCTCCATCTCTCCGGTGAGTGCACGTGCCCTATAGCGAAAATCTCTCTAAAAGAAAGAAAGAAAACAAGTACCGCACCTGTGCCCTCGTCTCGAGTGTTTGCACTGGGATTTTCTCACTGTGGCTGCCCTCGGGAAAGCTTAAGAAATGGAGGGGCCCGCAAGAGCTCTGGGACCAACGGCTCGCAGTGCCCTGATCGTGCTTAGCGCCGTCTACCTCGTTCAGCTGGATGAGTTAAAATATGGGGGACCCTAGGACAGCCCCCTAAGAAAGCAGGCATTAAATGACAGTTACTGTTACCAGGTGTGACGCAGAACAAGTCTCACTCTCTGGCCTCAGTTTCCCCCCATGATCATCATGGCCTCCCCAGACGAGAGCCCAGTGAGCAGCCTGCACCCAGGCCCTGCAGCCCCACTGCCAGCACCCGAGCTCCCCGCCCACCAGCACCTCTTCCTGCCAACTCCGGGTGGCCCCTGAGGCCCAACTGAGGCAGCCCTTTCTCCAGGATGCCCTTGCCATCCTCGCCTAAGGACCGAGTGACTCTCCGAGCCCCCATGTCCAGGGAACCCACCACAGGCACCTCTCAGAGTCCGCAGAGGCCCCTGGGGGCTTATGAGAGCAGGGAGCAGGTGGGGTCCCCCTCCACCTCAGGCCCCAGCAGACAGGCAGGGGGCGGGGTGGGGGGAATAATACGGTGGGGGAGGAGCTGCATACTCACACCGCTAGGACTGACCCCAGCTTGCCTGGGGAAGGACAGGGTACCCCAGCCACCAGGGAGGGCTGCCAGCCCCCGAGTCCCCTCGCAGCAGGTTACAGGAAGGCAGGAGCAAGGCAAGGCTGCTAGGCCTCCAGCCCTAAGTAATGTCGGGCCGTGACTCGGCCCATCCCAGAACACACAGAGGACCCCTCCGCAGACAGCCTTCAGCTGCCACGTTCCAGCTCAGGGGCTGATGACACTGAGACTCAGCAGGTCACGGACAGCTTCACAGACCCCTCCCGACTACCCTGTGGGTGGACTCTGCTACATCGCCCATGTGACAGACGAGGGAAACTGAGTTTCAGGGAAGCTGTAACTTGCCGGGGGGAGGCAGAGCTGGCGGGAGGCCTGATTCTTCGCAGTGATCTGGAGCAAGGACCTGCCAGAGCCCTTCCTGTGCCGGGACAGAAGGTGCTGAGACCCTGAGATCACACCAGCGAGTGCGCAGCGGAGGGCTCTGCCGTGGAGGGCACCTGGACACGACTCCGCGGCCGTCCCCGCACACCCACCCATCAGCCTCTGGCCTGCCCCGGCACCACCCATTACCATCCCTCCTAACAGGGCTACAAACACCTGCTACAGAGCTCTGAGCGTTAGGCCAGGACCCGGCAACAGTAATAACAACTGTTACAACAGCCAGCTGCGTTTCCCATCCGCTTCCACCCAGGTCTGTGCTGAGCACCCCAGAGGAACCCCGGGCAATCCACAGTGACCCTAGGGGCAGGCACTAGTGTGACCCCGTTTTACAGAGCAGGAAACCGAGGCACCGGGAAATACAAAGACTTTCCCAAGGCCATACAGGGGCAAGTGACAGCCAGGGTTCAATCCCGGGCAGCTGGCTTCAAACCTGCCTTCCCCACCTGGCAACAGCACTGCTGTAGGACACATGGGAGCCACCCCTCCCGGGTACCCGGGGTGCTCGCCTCCTCTCTGCCTGCCCACCTCTCAGGCCTACACCCCACCCCCATCGCAGTCTGTGTTCCTCCAGGAGCATGGGCAGAAGTGGGCCCACGTGATCATGGGGTCCGGAGGGGGGCTGGGCTGGAGCCTCCTGCTCCCTCTGCATCCTGGCGCCCCCTGGACAGCAGCCAGGACCCCTGCTGCTGGCTGGCTAAGCTGGAGGGAGGAAGGGCCAGGCAGGCAGGAAGGGAGGCGCCTCCACCCCTTCCCCCAAACACGTCCTGCACAGACAGAAACAATGGCGCTGGGCCCTGCGGGGGGGCGGGGGCCGGGACAGCAGCGGCCAAGCTGCTCCAGGAAGCAGGAGGCCCCTAGTCCTGCTGGGCCCTCACTTGCTGCAAGACTGTCTCTGCACCCAGCATCTCCACTTTCCCACTCGGACAGGGTGCTTCCCGTGCCCTTTCTAAAACCCAAGTCTGATGGCACCCACCAGCTGTGGACCTGGCCCTGGTACTCTCCCCAGCTATGTGACCCTGGGCTGGGCACGTCACCTGTCCGAGTCTCAGCTCCCTCCTCTATAAAACAGGGCTAATGGCACACCGCAAGTCCTGACAGAGACTGCTCTAAGGCAGCCAGGTGCCGGCCTTGCACGTATGAACAGCGAACAGTGAGCCCTCCCTGGTTTTCCAGCGCGCGTGAGCCAAAGTCCACACTTTCCCAGCCTGACTCATGAGGCTATGGCCCAGGCCTGGCTTTGGCCTCTCCCTACCCCCTCCCTGGTCACTGGAACTCCAGGCCCTTCCTGGACGGCCTCTGCATGCTCCCTCTTCCCTGGCTGCTCCCTCTCCCCCAACAGCCAAGTTCCAAGGCCCTGTTCTCAGGGAGCCCCCCAGCCCACCCCCAAGATCCCCTGGCAGGTGTGAGCAGGGGCCACTCCGGCTCGCAGACGTCACCACTGCCTGCTCTGTGCTCATGTGTTTTGTGGCTCCTACTACGGGCTTGTGGCCACCCAGCTACAGGGGTCCCATGGGGGCCCCAGTGCACATGAAGCTTTGCTGAATGGCTCAGTCCTGCCAGGAGCTCAGAGCCAGGGAGGACAGGCAAGGACACTGAGCAGGGTGGCCTGAGCAGCGGCTATGTTTCCTTCAGCACCGACTGCACGCCTGGCAGAGCCGGGCACTCCCGCGAGGCACAGACCTCAAACACCTGCACACAGAAGAGATCAGGGCCCCTACAGCCGTGAAGAAACCGGGGCCCAGAGAGGAGCAGTGGCCAGCCCAGGTGATGCAGATGTAAATGGGGGGACAGAATTTGAACCCAAGATCTACAGGTGCTAAACACTGTAATATCCAGGCAGCTGCATCAAGTCAAGACCCAGCCTGATTCCGCCTGCCTCACCCCCCACTTCTCGCAATCTGAGACCCTGCCCCCATTCCCAAGCACCCCTGCAGTACCTGTTGAGGAGGTCCAGGCCACAGCCCCAGGACAGTGGGCCTTCTGGCTTTCCCAAAGGCCATACGCTGTCAGAGGATGAGGACGAGGAGAGGCCAGGGGACCAGGGCTTGAGAGTCACACTCCCTGGGGAGGAAGAGTGAGGTTCGGGGTACAGGACTTAGAAACAGGGACAGCAAGACTAAGCACCCTCCAGCCTAGGGATGGCTCAAGGCCCAAGGGGTATGTCAGACCTGCTGGGCTCCGAGGTGGGCCAGGGCCCCCCAGAGTGGCCTGTTACCCAGGAAGGGGTGGAGGCTGGAACTGAGGAGCCTACAGCACAGCTAGGAACAGCAGTGAGGGCCAGCATGGGCTCAGGGTCAGGGCCTTCCTGCCTGGCCGGGGCAGGGTGCAGCGCAGGAAGAGACCGGGCCAAGGGGCGGGCAGGCGGTCCAGCCTCAGGCAGGTGGCAGAGCCACTTCCCGGTGAGCCCCGGCGTGGGGTCCCCAGCCTTACCTGTGATGTCCGACATGCTGCTGAAGGACCTGGGGGGCAGGAGGGGCAGGAAATGAGGCGATGGGTGCTCTACCACTCCTTCCTCCTGCACCCAGACCACCCAAAGGTCCCCCCAACAAACACAGGCACAGGGTACCCGGACCACCCAGACCCCCAAACACACAGAAAAAGAAGCTAGCGTCTTGGCCTCCGCTGATTATCATTCTCCCCAGGATGCACTGGCTTGTCCTTCAAAGCCAGCTCCTTCAGTGCCACCTCCTCCTGGAAGCCTGCCCTGACTTCTCATCCTCACCTCACTGTGCTGGCTATCTCTGTCGTGTACCTCCCACCTTGGCATGCCCTGTGGCTCATGGCACGTCTGCTCAGATGGAGGCCACCCTGACCACATCTCGTCAGTAAAGGACAGCACCTAGGGCAACTCCTGGGGAAAGCAGTGCCCAGGACAGCTCCTGCCCTACAGCCTGCAGCTAGCAGACACGGCTGGACTTCGCTGGCTCCTGTGCCGCTGATGCCAGGACCTAGGCCCTCCTTTCTCTACTGTGGTCGCTGGCCCCCAGGGACATTCTCCACGTCCCTAGGTCTGACCATCAGGCTTCCCCTCGGGTTTAGAGTCCTCCGGCCTTGATCTCCCACCAGGGTACTTACCTGGGGCTGAGTCCACCTGCCCCCTGGCTTTGCTTAACCCCTGACCTCAGCAACCCCTGGCTCCCAGGCCTGGGTTCCCGGAGCACCCGCCGCTTCTAAACGGCAAAGGGAGGTGACTGCTAAGACCTGACCCTGGCACAGGGCTCTGGGAGGTGGCTGTTCGGGAAACAGAGCTCCACCTCCCCCCAACCCAGGCCTCTCCACCGTCTCTAGCCTCTTTACCTCTTAGGGGGCGCGGGGTCTTCTTCACGCTGGCGGCGGAGGATGGACCCCGCGCTGGGGGGAAAGGGCAGGATGGAGAGCCGGTTGATCTCCTTCTCGCTGTCCGTGGCCTCCTCCTGCAACACCAGGGCAGGCCTCGGTCACCCCACTGCCCAGTGCCTTCCCAGTCCTCAACACGCCTGGCTATGCCTGCTCCACTGCTGAGAATGGGGTGCAGAGAAGGGTGCTCTGCAAGAGTACGGTATGTGAGTGGCCCCCAGGTGCCCCGGGGCCTCCACCAAGCTGACTCCCTGGGCCTCAGTGTTCCTGTGTATGAACGGAACATCGCCGACCAGAAGACACACTACGGTCCGTCATTCTGACTGTTACTGACTGGCATCCCCCATTCCTGGGGTGGAGGGATGTCTTACCGAGGTGTGGGGCTCACATTCTCCAGGAACTGCGGCCTCCCCAGAGGCTTCGAGGCCTCCCAGTGGGGAGGGGAACTCGCTCAGGCTCCAAGTGCTGCTGAGGTTGGAGCACAGGGAATGGGAGGAGGCACAGGCCTGGAAGACAAGGCAGGAGCAGTGATGATCCCAGGCCAGCCACAGTCCCCTCCTGAGCCACACGCTAGGCTCAGGGACAGCGATGGAGACAGGGAGCCTGACCTCTGCCCTCGAGAAGCCCACAGCCTAGAGGAGGCCAACTTAGACCAGTTGGCCAAAGAACAAACTAACCCCAAGCTGTGATGACAGCAGAGGGAGGTGCAGGGGTGGAAGGCACTCAGAGCCAGGGATGTCAAAGTCAGAGCAATCCAGAGAAACTGTGGCTGGAACTGGGAGGTGCTGAGCAGTACAGGTTGAGGGAGGATGGGAGGATGGGCCAGGTGGCTGGAACCCCAGTGTGAAGGCCCTGGGGCCAGCCTGTGACACATTCCAGGAAATAAACAACTGAGCCTCAGAACCAGGCTACAGGGGAGGAGGGCTCTAACCTGGCACAGTGAGGGCTCTGTCTCTACCTAAGAGCAAAAAAGTCACTGCGGGGGTTAGCAAGTGAAAAGTCGCAAGCTCTCGGTGCTTCTTCGATCCTCCCAGGTCCCATAGCACCCGACAGACGACAGAAAAAGCCAAGTTCCTATTGGCGGCCTGAGGACCAGAGTCGAATTAAAGGGTCTGGGGGCTCGGCTCCAGTGCTGCCTGGCTGTGTGACCTGGGCTAGTCCCAACCCTCTCTGGGCCCTGTGTGCTAAGGGGTCCATGTTAGACCAGACTGGCTGGTCTCAGAGGCCCACGTTTTGCATTCTAAATGCTCAAAGGGCCTCAGGCAACCAGGCTTCCCCAAGTGTACCCAAAGACAGGCTTCCAACTATTCTTAGCATCTCTGGCCAAGCCAGAAACAGAGACCCACCTGCCCCGTCCTGGCTGCCAATCCACAGCCTGGATCCAAGTGCACCCTGTCCCCTAGCAGAGGGCTCTCCTGTTTCCACCCTTGGCTGAAGCTGCCCGCCAGGTCCTACAGGTCTCCAACCCCAGCCCGGAGCTCCTGCCAGGACTCCAGCCTCCCCCAGGACCCTGTATTCCTGCTCCTGCTTACCTTGAGGCAGGCCCCACCCTGGGCCCGCTGCAGCTGCGCCTCCAGCAAGGCCTTGGTACCCTCCAGGCCAGTGAGCGTGGTCAGCAGTTCGTCCCGCTCGGCTTCCAGGCCCCGCACCTGCTTGCGGTACTGGTCCTTCTCCAAGAGGCTCTGAGAGTACTGCAGCTGGATCCGGTCACGGCTCTGGATGGCCTGGGGGGAGCAGGCGGGAGCCAGCGGCTGAAGGAGTCATGCCACCTCACCCATCCAGACCTCTGACCTGGATTAGCTGTTGTTACTCTCATCCCACTGGGAAAATCAAGCCAGCAGGGCAGAGCTGGGATCCAAACCAGGGGGGCCGGGTCAGAGGCCAGCTCTTATTGTCCGAGCTTGTGTGTGAGGCCCTGCTCACAGCACCACTATGCCAGCATCCCATCAGTGGGGAGCTGGGAGCTCCCAGCCCACTGCACCCAAGTTCTTGAACAGAATCAGGGGTACTGCCTTGAAGGAGCTAGGGCCAGAGGCCCAGGGGCAGCCTGGTGGACTGCCAATGCCTGGGCCCAACCCCAGACGACCTGAATCAGGATGTCCAGAGATAAAACCCCAAGTTTGCATGTTCAAGCCCACCAGGGGACTCTGAAGCCCATTCCACTGTGCAGACTTGAACTCCTCCAGTGCAGTGTAAACTCAGTCAAGGACAAAAGCCTCCTGCCCTACCCTCTGCATGGGGAGCCCCACACAGGAGGGCTGGGGGCCCAGGGGAAATGGCCCAGGATGGCCTACTCAACAGCCTCAGCAAGACACAAGGGCTTTGGTGCCCAGAGACTGGGAGCTAGAATCCCTGAGGATTTTCCCATGTTTTGGTTTCTTTTCCTTTTTCAATTTTATCAGAGGGTGCATGCGCTCACCAGAGAGAGAGAGAAAGCAAGAAAGCACCCCCCATGGGGCATGGTCGTGCTGCAATCCCTTCTCCTCTATCCCTCCTCTCAGGATTTTTGGCATGCATGCACACGCACCCAACATGTTTTCTGAGCCACTGGGTCCAGGACTTGAACTGTGTGGACCACCACATGGGATCCAGCCGCCTTAACCACCAGGACATGGGCTGACCCAAGGAATTCTTCATCAGCAAATGTTTGCAAATATCTGTGTTGGCCTCATTGCCAATGTGGAGAGAATGAAGGATTTAGAAGGGAAGGATGCCAGGACCAGCTTTCCCAGCATCAGAGTGCAGGTGAGGCAGGCGGGCCCAGGTGTGAGGCTGGTGTCTGTGTGTCTCTGCTCTCCCCGGCCTCCCCCTACCCCTGCCCCATTCTAACCCAACCAGTACACCGTGAAAGTCTCTTTCTGTAATTCTGGTCCTACCCACATCCCCTCATCTCCCCTGTACGGGAACCAGCACAGGCCCGGGCCCCACATGTAGCCGACTGGGCTTACCTGGTCCCGCTCCTTCTCGATCTCCTCCAGCTGGGCCAGGACGGTGGCCATGCGGTGCTTGTACAGGTCGCAGTCCTTCTGCAGCGTGCGGTGCTTCAGCCGCAAGTCCTCCATCTCCTGCAGGTACTGAGGGCAGGCGAGCTCAGACCAGGGGCCAGGGGCTGGGGGAAGCTAAGCGGTAGGCGCCCAACAGGTCCAGCAAGAGGCCTGAGCCCCAAGAACAAATGCCCACCTCCCTGGTCGGGTGGTCTGAACACTGACTTCCCCTCACTCACGGGCCTCAGCTGCCTCATCTGTAAAGTGGGATAAGGATAACCACAGTATCCAACATCCACCCAGTCCTCCTGGGCCTCCCCATGGAAAATGCTCCCCTCGCCCTGCTCTGGGGCTGCCTGGCACTGCTCGCCTGTCACTTCAAGGAACAAGGGACAGGACAAAGTGTGAGGCATGCTGTCTGCCTGCCCTGCTCTAATTCGCCCTCCTCGGGGCAGGGCCTGACTGGTTCAATGGCGCTTCTCCAAGCCTCATGGGTATTGCAGAAGGGACGGACACACAGCCCCCCACTCAGGGCCCACGCTGGCCTGGCACACAGATGGGCTGGAGCACACCAGTCAGGCTGAGACACAAGGCCCGGAGGAAGGTGGAGCGGGGCGGGGGGGGCGGGACGCTACCTTGTCCCGCAGCTCCTCGGCCCACTGCAGCTCCCCCTGCACGGAGTGCAGCTTCTGGCAGAGCTCCTGCCGGCTGTCCTGCGCCTCCCTCCAGTCGTGTTCCAGGATGTCCAGGAGGATACGCTCTGAGCCCGGGGCCCCCGGCCGGCTCACCTCCTGGGGATCAGAGTTCAGGGCTACCTCAGCCTCGGCCAGGCGCCCCGCGTGTGGGGACAGGAGGCAGACAGCTCTCAGCCCTCGGCCCTCGGAACTCATCACATTAGCTCTGCCCTCTCGCCTAAGAGCCTTGACCTCTCTGGACCTCAGTTTCCCCCTGCATAGAGAGGGTGTGGCCCCGCCAGCTCTATCCACCCCACCCCACTCCACCCCCGAGAGCAGCTGGGGTGCAGATGAGGTAAGTGGAAGTGGGCGTGCTCGAACAAGTTCAGCCAGGATCTTATTCCTCAACAAGAGCCAGGCCTGCTGCTTTTCGGCAGCCTCCACCCACTGTCCAGGACTCCCAAGGCCCATTTCCACCCCTCTGACAGGCGAGGGCTGGGCCTGGCCCGGGAGGGTGGAATAGGGACCAGGATCCAGCCCCAGGCCCATCCCAACTTGGCCAGCCACATTCCCCTGTCCCCATGAAGTACACAAGCTCCCATCCCCCACTTCCTGTGTGGAATAAATGGCCAGGCAGCAGGCAACACTGCTAGTGACCCGCCTCAGGACACTAAGCCAGCCCCTGGGCCACCCGGCCTTGAGGGCCACCCAGACCCCAAGGCCTTCAACCTCTGCACAGTCAGAGACTCCTCTACGAATCGGAGAAGAGTCGAGGAAATCGAGAAAAATGCTGCCACACAAAAGCAGGCACACTTCTGGGGAGTTCAGAGAACGCTTGGAGGCCCCCAGACCCCAGACTAAACCCCTGGGGGGAGCCTCGCAGAGAGCCCCGGGCTCAGCCTCAGCCTCAGACAAGAGGCAGGAACCCCACACAGATCTCAGAGCCCCAAGTCTGCGTCCCAGGCGTCCCCCACCTGCTCCTCAGTAGGAAGAGTGAGTGTAAGGAGGGTCCCGCCCTGATCTACCTGCCCCCTCGCCCTCCGCCCTCCCCCCTCCACGGCAGGTACCTGCTGCAGGCCTT